TCGACATCGCTATCATAGGAGGATGAAGCCATCGAGTACTCGTCGTCAAAACCATCGTATCCAAAGTCTTCTGTTAGAGGAGCGTGTTCCATCTTTTCCATGGCGGAGGAGTTACTCTAGTTGTTGTTGGCGAAGTCAAGGTGTTTGATGGAAGTCGTGTCTTTTTGTCTTGTTTTATGATGGTTTGATGGTTTGATGGAGTCTGGAGCGATGAGAGCTTGACGGTTGACTGTTCATGCAGAAGCTGCAGAAGGCAGCTCTAATTCTGTGGTTTGGTGGTTTCAAAGGGGCAGGAACGCTCAAGAAACAGCTGTCTTCCAAACTCCCGCCAACCAGCCAACATATTTACTTGCATTATTATGAGTACAGTACCCCGTACCGGTACTGTACTAATGTACTTACCGTATTTGCCGCTTAAAATAGCCGCAGCTTTACTGGTTTTGAGTCTCCTCGACTCGACTCGGTTCTGCTGTAAGGCCTTGTTAAAAGATAAACAGGCACCCTGAAAAGGGAAAGGGAAAGGGAAAAGTTTATTGGCAGCCACCACGCAACTAGTTTCCGTTGCTTACAAACATGTCCTCCGGTGCAGATTCATTTGACATTTTAAAATTCGTTTTGTCCAAACCAAAATCGGAAGCGGTCATTTCTAACAGAAATAGTCTTTTCGCGAATCCTGCATTGAAATGAATAGTACACAGAAAGAAAAGATTGAAGAAATAAAAATGAATTTTATCACCATGGCAACAGTGTTGGCCAAATCGTCTCTAGCTTAACCAATACATTGTTCTAGCTGAGTCTGTCAAAGGTCTACCTCCCCAACACACACACACAGAGCCAACCCTTGAAGAGACTCAGCCATCTCCAAAGTTTCCTATGGAGCCTCAATGAAAAATCAGGCTTGGATTGCATTTTGTTGTCGCTTCTCCATGGATTTCTCCATGGGAAAGGTGCTGCTGTCCTCACTCTCAGCATTCAATCTTCACTCTAGAGTATGGTAGAGGAGTGGGTGGCTTTGGATGAAGACTGGAGCACCCATCCCAAAGGTTCAAAGGAGAAGTGTTGGCTCCAAGGTGAAAAAAACTTCATCAGATTTTATGTTTGTGGCCAATAGACCAGTCAATGCAGTAGTAGAGAACTGCCGCTTGTTGCTTATGTAGTACAGTATCAATAGCAGAGGCTTCACGGACGCTCCGTGGAAGATGCGGCGTCATGGTTCTTCCGTGGAAGAAGTCATCGATCCTTGGAAGTCTGCAATCATCGATCGATCCGTCTTCGCGTCGATCCGTCGAACGGAAGCAGCTCCTGTAGAGTAGTAGCCGTTTGTTGCATCATTGGCTCCTTGGAAGAGGAGGCGTCATGGTTGCTCCGACAGATCGCTCCGTGTCATGGTCGCTCCGTGGAAGAAGAAAGAAGTCATCGGCCGAATTGCTCCGTCGAACAGAAGGAGAGACATCGATCGTCGAACGGCTGCCGCTGTCGCTCACCAAACAAGAGGGGAGCTTGTCATGGTGGTGAGTAGTAGCCTTTGTTGATAGGAGTAGCCGCTGTAGTGCAGTAGAGGAGATAGCATCATCTTGATAGAGTCCAGTCAATAGATGACAATAGATAATGCAAAAGAAGAGCACACGAGTGGCTGGGAGCCATGGATGTAGTATTCCTTTAAGGCTTTTCTCAGGTAATTAAGTCTATGAGTCCTGATGTCGTAGTTCCCATTCGAATGTCCTAGCGGGACCGTGCTTGCGTTTGCGTCAATAGCTTCGATACAGCCTGTACCTTGAATACAAGATATTCAGTATGTCATACCGTATTTTCGGGATTGCTGATACATGTAGCGCTCCTGTGCAGCCAATTGCGATTGTTGGTGCCATGAATAATAGAAGACGCCTGCTAGCTAGACTGTACTAGTAGCTACTACTGAGTAGGAAGGCTTAAAAGCAGTGACGCGATGACACAGTTCCCTCCTGTATAACGCCAGATAAAAATTTTATCAGTCTTTTAACAGCCAAAGGCAGAAACTTGCCAAATGGCAACTATTCTGAAGACCATTTATTTGTAGAAATTTCAATTTTGTTTATCAGCTCTTTGATATCTTGTATGGGAAAGATTGATGAGAGTCTACAGTAGACTAGTAGGTACTTTTAGTCCCCGCACAACTAACTTGAGTGTTCCGAGCGTCCAAGCTTTCAAGCTTTCATGCTTGCACCTCTAGCAAATAATTGGATTCTGAGATAGATGAGGAGCTCTCAGACTGGCAATCTTCTCAAATAATCTACAAATCTACCCATCAAGGGAACGGTTCATTGCCTTTTTACTCTATATCTGCTTCTTTTTACCGGGTGAGTCATTATAATTCAATATCAGGCTCCAGCTTCCATTCAGGTTCCTCGCTCGTAATGACTTTTTAAATCCTGGTGATTCAGTTTACAAAGGGTGGCGAGTGGTGAAGCACTGGTGAGTGTTGAGGTAAGCAGGAATTATAATTATTACGTCTTCGAGAGCAACACTAAGTCAGTTTCTAAAGCGGTTCTATTCTTCCATTCTTCGCTCTTCGCTGGCAGGTGAGAGGTGAGTCTTTGACGCTGTCTTTGAGCAGCTATGAGCAGCCTGCCTTTGCTTGCTAGCTAGTTTGGCATTGTCCATGCTACGGCATGAAATCGGGGCCGCGCTTCTACTGTAGCCTGTGCCGGAACCAGTCCCGTCAGCTTGTAGTCAGCTAAGCTGGTTTTGGGTTCTTGCAGCCCAACGCCGCTTCCTGTTAAGGACGTTTAATGACAACTAAGTCACGAATGTGATTCCTCTAGTCTCATAACCCGATTCACCGTGTTGTTTTCGGTGCTATCGTCAGAACTGAACAATGATGTTCTTGCCGTAACTGGACTGGATAGAGGAATGCTATTGGGCCAACTAATAGTCATATGATTGGTTCCCATCCATCTGTTGGTAGTATGCTAGAGATGCCCGCTGGCGGCAACAGCTGGATGGGTCTGTGAGTTGACATCGGCTTGTTGCATTGGCCCCACATCGGATTTCGTCACCACCCAACCAAGCCAACCATCGCTCCATGCACAAGCCAATCCACCTGTTATCCTGCACACCGCTGGATAGAGCGTACCCGATAGTCTAAGAGCACATACCCGCTTGATCATCGGACATGAACTGTGTATCTTCTTAGGGGACAAAGTCGGCTTGGGTTGGTGAAACTTTTTCATCCTGTTATCGGTGCATTGGCCATGTTTTCCGTTTGCCGATGCTCCTCCAATTTGGATCTCCAGAGAACTCTCAACGGAATTCTGGTTTTTCCGCCAATGAATATTTTCTGGCGGGAACTTGGTTGGGTACACGACAATTCACAAAACAAGTTTCTTCCGAGAACAACAGTTTTGGAAATCATGCCGAAGGTCAACAGCAAAGATGATGTTGTCACGCTCCGCCATTTGGGAGGGGCCTCTGTGGACTTTCTAGTGGATTGCCTCACAGGAGTTACTGATTACCCAATGCTTCGCACGCACAATGAGAAAGCACAGAAATTTGTTGTGGATTCAGAGGCCGTGTTGCAGGCCACGGTTTTGGATTGTGTTTTCGAGAAACGTACGTTCAACAAGGCAACTGGTCCAATCTGCATTGCCAAGTTTGTGCTGGCCGATGGAAGTTCTGCCGTTTGGAAAGCGGTGACAAGTAGCAATTTGTCCGAACTTGTGGAGATTGAAATGGCCAAAACAGCCAATTCATCCGGGATGTCTTCTATCAAAGTTGGTAGTACTCTCACCATTGATAGTTATAACTGGATTCACCTTTCAAGTGATGAGCCCCATGTCTTTCGCCGTGTCATGGTGGTCAACAAGTGTTCTTTTGTAGACCCACCGGATACTGTGGAAGAAAGTGACGACGAAAGCTGCAATTCGCCACCCTTGAAAAGGGGAAGTCTACGCTTCTTCGAAGAAGAGGAGGCTCTCTACCTTTCTACTGAGGAAGGCTACTTCTCCAGTTACGTCCCGGATGTCATTGAAGATGCAAAGCAGAAAGGGGATCTGATCTTCACCGTTCCTTGTTGTCTTTTTGACCCAAAGACAAACAAGGGATTGGTGTTTCAAGAGAAGGCGACAGTTGCACAGTTGAAGTTGGCTCACCCTTGTCATGTCACATGGAACAAAGCTGACTTCAAGAAGCTGTACCAAGACATCCCAGAAGACTTCGACGAGGACGCCACAGTCCCAATGCCGTGCGAATGCGAGACTCGATTTGGCTTATCCACTTGTGCCATTGCTTCGTTTCCTTTGTGCTTTCTTGACTTCGACCGAGTCTTCTACAGTCTCAAGGGGAAGGTTTCTGAAGATGCACTGGAAGCTGAGGAATTCTTCGACTTGTCTCCTCCCAAAAAGCGCTGGTGTGCTTACACGTACTACTCACTCAATGTGTTCCATCTTAGGAAGCGTACACGTCTTCCTGACTGTGTTGTCTATGCGATTAAGTTGAAGTTCAGGGATGCGAAGGATGCTGAATCAATTGGAACTCAGAGGAAGGAACCGCCAAAGGCGGAGTACACCACAGAGAAGGTGGCCTCGAAGAAGGTGAACATGGAATTGGAGGAAAAGAAAGAACGCGATGAGTTGAAAATGGTCGTTGACCTAGAAGAAGAGGAACGTGCTGTGAAAGAAGCTTTCGAAAAGGAAAGTAGACTCAGTGCATTCCATGCGTACACCGAAGAAGTCAAGTCGATTTCGTCCAAGTCCGGTGACTATTGGGATAATGCCATCCGCATTGCTCTTGAGTGGAAGAATCGCTCCAAGCGCCTTGATGACTCCCCCGGTTACAGCGTCTAATCAAAAGAATAATAGTGAATTGTTTTAAGTGTTATGGTATCTCTGCGTATCTTCCTCGATGTCTAATAGATCATCAAGTAACTGGCCCAGCATTGGAGAGTTTTCACCTATTCTTTCTTCCACGAAATCCAATCCATCGAGTGCATCCACCTGTGCTGACTCACGTTGGGAATGGGTCATGGATGCGAACTCACCCACCGTTGGTAAACCAGTCACTGCTTTGCTCTTCTTATTGTTCGAACAAAAGGAGCTATTGCTTCGCTTGTGACCCCATTCGCCACAAGAGCGACACCAGTTTCCTTCTTTCTCGCCCTCCGGACGTGGCAGATTGGGTTCTTTACTTGCACATTTGGCCTTTGTCTTCTGCCTTTTGGCTGGATGTTCTTCCATTGCAATACCTGACTGGTACACTTTGTCCCGCTCCTCTCTCATGGTAGAGTGGTATTCCATAATCTTAGCATAGGTTCGCTGGTTCCTTTTTAACTTGTGTGCCACAGTCCTTTCACGGATAGCTTTCTTGCTTCTGATTGCTTGCTGCTTTTGTAGGAAGTGGGCTGTAGAATTGTCAACGTCCAATCCAAGTTTGCTGTAAAGTGTCTTGAAGAATTCTTCAAAGCCAAGGATGTGTACTCCTATTGCCATCATGACTCTTCCTTTCAGGGAGAGAGATCCGGCATAAGTCTTGTTCTTTGGGGCATACCAAGAAATGAGGTTGTTCAGAGATTCGTTGACGTTTGTGTCGCCAGTGTGCACCACCTCTTCAAGACGGCTCATGGTGATGAACCGCGAGATAATATCAAACAGGGCGCTGAAAAGAGGTTCCTCCTTTTCCTTGTTTCGATAAAACTTGCCAGATTGTTGTTTCTCCTCGGCGGTAGCTTCTTTCCTCTTGCAAAAGTCGCCACATGTTTTGTGTGGATGTCAAACAGATGATTCAGGATGGCGGAAGCTCTTGCTTCCCATTTTCCTTTGGGATGTCTTGTAGTTGATGAATAAGACAGATGAATGACATCGTCAACCGGATAATGTCACCCTCTGTGAATCCAAATCTTTTCTTTACAGGTTTCCCCTTGAATCGGTAGAGATGATTGCGCAAGTCTTCTTTCGATGAGCTGGTCGCCAACGAACTTCGGCTTCACTGACACACGAAGAGAGTGCACACACTGTGTAAAGTTTCGAGTGTCTAGTGTTTCGAGAATGAAGAGTTATGAAGATAGAAGAGCTATGAAAACAATCAACGAGAGAGATTACAACCAAGGATCGTAGATCTGAACTCCCCGGGAGACTGTAAAGTGTGCCATACTAGAGTTATAGTTGAGCGGTCACGCAATCCATCCTGTATGGTCACTCCACTTCGAGCTCCAAAATACGGAGGAGCAAACGAGAGGCAACATGCGTGGATATGGCTATCCCTTATCGTATGGCGTGGGAGTAAATTGAGCAATGGGAAAACTCCTTGAGTTGGAGCCCCTATATGCCAACCTAGAAGTGCCTAAATACCCTGATCTACTACGATTGTCATCATCAACCTTGCTAGTCATGAACAAGACTGCGCGAACGTGGTGCATCACAAGTGATAAACCCTTGAGTGCCCAATGATCCACCTCCAGCGTGAGAGTCTCCCAAGACCCACGTGACCAATGGGATCCAGCTTGACTGCATCCTCGTAGTCTCCTAGACCTCGAAGCTTGGACTTCATGGCGTCGGTACAGTATGTCACCTGGATGGTGGTTGCACCTGTCTTGAGAATGTTCTCATAGGATCGAGTCGACTTGTCATAGATGGATGACTTTGCCTTGTACTCGCTCAGTTCCAAAGCATCGTACTCTTGGGCTTTGGGATCAGCAAGTGATACCTGGAGTGTTGGCTTGGTCGGCTTGGTAGGTGCCTGACTTGTCATGGTCTCAATGGCCAATGAAGCCAGTGGCACATCATTCCACTCAGGCTTGATCCTTAGATCCTGGACAATGTGTGTCAGGGTCTCTTCAAAAGGATAATACCTGGTGTCAGCCTGTCCATTTGGATGGAAGAGGAACTGACGCTTGGAACTCTTGTTCTGGTTCCTGTAGCTGTTGCCTCTTCCTTGATGGCTTCTTCCTGAGGAATTGAATCCCCTACCCCCCCTAGAAGGGTATCTTCCTCCACCACGACCACCTCTTCCTTGGAATCTCATGGTTGCCGTTGGTGTGGTAATGCACTCTTGTGCTTGCTTGTTCCTTGGAACTAGCTTGTGTTCTCGTGGAACTGTTCTTGTGTGGATACTCCTGCAGGAAGGATCTCACGACGGGCACTACTACTTGTAGTTGCCTGTAAAAGCTTCTTGTTGGCTGGATAGCCTTCTTTTTGGTCACTCTTGGTGCACCTGTTTGTGGCTGGATAGCCTCTGTCTTTTTGACAGCTCACGGAATTCCAGAGGAACTCGTGGTGTTCTTCTGTTCTTGGTGGAGCCTTGGGTAGTAGCGAACTGCCTCTGTTGGTCTCTTGTTGCCTCTGCAAAGCTTGCAGATGGTCTTGGTATGCTTGGGTGGTTACACTGTGTGAGTATTACAGTTTGAATCAGGCAAACGATGGAGTTTTAGGACTCCGTGTGGTTTACCGGGATTTTTGTGTTTCTCTTCACAATAGCACTGTATCACTCGAATCAACCTATCTCACTCAATTTTCGGAGTTAGAAGCTTGCACTGATACTCAGAGATGCGGCTAGATGTCCTCTATCGATTGATGTATGGGACCGCTTGCTTGCAACGTCTGTGTCAGGATCTATCTTGATCCCCGTTCGATGACTTCTGCTCGTTGTGATGAGATGTATCGAAATCTCGCGCGTTGACACGATGACGTAATCGACTGTAACTCTTGGAATAACAGCCGGATTTCCGTCGTTCAAGTATGAAATCGCCTTGTAATCGCGTGTTCTTTACACTGGTACCCTTGGATGTCCGTAGTTCCGGCCGGAAACTGTTAGACGATCGTCGTACCTTGATCTTGCGTGAAGATGGGAATCCCGCGCAAGCACCTCTTTCGTGTTAGAGCTGTTTGGTATCCTTTATAGTGTGGCTGTGTGCAGTATTTGCGCACCTCTCCTCTGTTGCAGGTGTTAACTCAATACACTTTGACTCAATACACTTTGACTTGATATGTTTTACCTTGATATCGATCTCGAGATCGGTAGTAGCTCGAGATGGCCTTTTGCTTTTCAGTGTTGTTTGCTAGTAATACTGCAGCTTATTGGGGAGTAATTTGGTTTTAGATTAAGCTGAAAAGCAAAAGTGAGGATTTTCTGGTGGTGCATAGCAATTCTTGTGATTGAATTGGATATAAGGACCCCCGCAACACTTTAGACCTAAAACTCCCTTGGTTCCTTGCATGATCAATTTACATGCGAACCGGACTAGATGATTAATACACGAGTCAATAGTAAAGAGGTGTCAGGTATGTTTCCTCCAACACATTGTAGCCAGTTACCATAGAGTTACGTCAATCAATCGGTGACAGTGGCAACAGTACCGAACACACTCAGGTTCCGCTTTACTGGCTACACTCCGTTACCGGTACCAGTACCTTGCATTGGATCCTTATGACGAATACATGCACAACCGAACATTGTCAATCCAGCCATCGTAGCCAGCTATCGTAGAGTTCATCGATCGGTGACAGTGGCAACAGTACCGAACACACTCAGGTTCGACTTTGCTCGCTGCGCTCGGTTACCTCGCATTGGATCCTTATGACGAATACATGCACAACCGAATATTGTCAATCCAGCCATTGTAGCCAGCTGCCGTATAGCTAGTGGCAACAGTACTTGACTTGAGCATACAGGAAAATGGGTACCGACACAGGAATCACCACCAAAACAGTAGGAAATAACAAGAAGGGATGAATCCGGTAGGAGGATCCACTCTCTTGTGTGTTGTTGCCTCTTCCGGTGGCTGTTGCCTTTCAATGACTCGACGACGATAGGCTCCTCTGTTCAGGCTGTTGGTAGGGCTGGAGTTAACAGAGCCTCCTTCTCCGTAGCGGTAGCCTCTCATCTTCTTGCTATCCGGAGCGATCGATCGATCGATCGATCGGTCGTCGAAATGGACTCCATGCAATGGTAGTTCATCGGCCGTCAGCAGTGCAGCAGAGAAAACAACAAATAGATATGAGTTTTGTTTTCTGTGCTGAACTGAAGAAAACCAGCGACTTACCCTTGCTTTTCAAATTGCGCCAACTTGGCCGTCGTGGGCCGAGAACTGACTGCCATCCCGCGGTCCATATGATTCAATGAGGGATGGCTTTCGCTTCTGTACCAGAGTCGACCGGCTTGAGTGAGGCTTGATAGTAGAGATAATAGAGGTGCGAGCGATCGATTCGAATAATTAAAACAACTCACCTGTTGACGGCCGAGCTCGGAATTCTCTCCTGTTTACCATAGGAATTGAATGAGGGAGAGAAGTCAGCGCTGTACCTTCAATTAACACTCTTGATAATAGGCTTACCTCATTGCGATCCATTCGATTGATCGTTCTAACACCATTCTTGTCCGCCAAGCTTGGATTTCTCTCCAGTTTGCCATAGCAATTCAATGAGCGAGAGAAGTCAGTGCTGCACCTTCAACAATGGATTTGGCTGGACCTGTACCGGTACTACTACGTGCGCATGCGGTTGAATTGCTGTAGTTTAACCTTAACCTTAAAACCTTCAACGGTTCTTTCTATCCACGAATGGATCTAAATGTTTCGAAAGAGAACCTGTTACTTAACGATACACATGACCGTTGATTCTGCAACTGAAGTGCCGCTACTCTATTTTACACAGTAAACGCCGGCAAATCGATTCCAGAGTGCAACTGAGGGGGTAACCAAAAGGAGCGTGGTCTGGGAGACCAAATAGGAAATAGGAAATAGGAAATAGAAAATAGGAAATAGGAAATAGGAAATAGCATTAAAGGGGTTGAGAACTCAGGCAGTTTACCTGCCGAGGTATTGCGTCACTCAATGCGGAGTAGACTACATAGCAAATAAATACAGAACCCCAAATTCACCTTGATCTTGATCATTCTCTCTTACTAGCTAGTAATTCCTGTCGGAATTGCCGGTACAGTCTTGCCTAATGTATCGGTACCGGTATGCAGTCACTTGCAGCTCAGCGCTCAAGCTCCAGTAGTATCTTGGTTTGGCAGACAACAACTCGTACTTTGGAACTATCCCCTCGGAGTTTGGCATGTTGTCCGATCTGAGGCACTTGGATTTGTCAGGAAACATTCGCATTCATGGCTCCCTTCCAGCAGAAATAATGGCGGGTCTCGGGTCATTGGAGTACTAGTATGTATTTGGATATCCGAGGAACTCATATGACAGGAACAGTGGCTGCAGCACTCTGTCAGCGCCAGAAACAGGACTTCAGATCCACGCCAATTGCACACTCGTTCAATGCTGTGCTGCGACGTAGTCTTAGTTTTAATAAAAGTTTGCTCTATGCATAACCACTCCTACAAACCAAGCAGAAGAGTATAGATCTAGCAGATCACGAGTTCAGAGACGGGAAGGGGGCGGTACGGTGGGTTGTTACGCTACGTTACGGAAGAAGCAAAGGGGACCCCCCGGCTGCCTTCCCGCCATGGAGACATCCCGTAAGCACACAACATCCCAGAAAGATCCTCACGGATTGATCTCCCTCGAGAGACGGAGCACCAAAAGCCTGACCACGTCCAGTTGCTTCCTGGAACGAGCAACATCCAGCGGTGTGTCGCCCTTGCCGGTCTTGAGGTCACCATTCGCGCCAAACTCCAGGAGTAACGTGACAATGCCAGCGTCACCTTTCTCGCTTGCCCAATGGAGAGCAGACCAGCCAAAATTGTCTCGTATGTTGGGGTCCGAACCATGATCCAACAGGAGCCGTATCACGCCGATGTTGCCTTGATCGATGGCAGTGTGCAAAACCGTCCAGCCATCACCGCTTTTGTAGCCGACATCGGCGCCATTCTCTAGTAACAATCCGAAGAGCTCGCGGTGGTCGTTCCTCAACGCGTGGTAGAGCGCCCTGCCGCTCCCTTCCCAAATTTTGACTTCGATGGTGTCAAGCAAAAGCTTCGCCACCTTCGGATCGTTGTTGCAGCAAGCAACGTCAAGTGCCCGTGGGACGCAAAAAACCGGATCCATGCGTGTCTGTTGCAAGAGAAATGATACCATTTCCACGTTGCCTTTCTCGGATGCAGTTACAAGAGCCGGACCGATGCAACGAGTATCAGCCAAAGTGTGCGTGAGGAGCAAGGAAGCCATATCCTTGTTGGACTCCTTGGTTGCCACGACGAGAGCCGTTTCCAAAGCGGGCGAACCCACCTTGCCACTGTCAAAGAGAAGCTCCACAACATCCGGGTGACGCAATTCCACGGCTGCGGATAGGGCAGCTTCGACAGAGGCAGCGTCGAGACCAGGATAGTCCAGCAACATCTTCACCATTTTGATGTCTCGTCTCTTGCTGGCAACACAAAGAGCAGGATCCAGGGTTCGAGCGCTGTACGCCCCAGACTCTTTGGGACATACGCCGACATCCAGACCCTTGCGCTCCAGCAAAGCCTTCACGACGTCTGCGTGACCACCGGCAACAGCAAAATAGAGCGGCGTTTTGTTGGTTCTTGCCTTTTTGTCGACGTGAGCCTTTGCCTTGAGAAGCATGTGCACCAACTCCAAATGTCCGGCCCCACAGGCAAGATGAAGACATGTCACGCCATCGTGGCCGGTTTCCTTGGGATCCAATCCCCTCTGCAAGAGCTCCTCCACAATGGGTATGTTGCCGGCAATGCAATTGACGTGAAGCACATTTCTGCTTTTGTAGTTGGTAGAGTGCAAAAAGCCCCACCGGCCCCCCAATTGGACTCCAGTTGCCACCGCGTGATCCAACAATTTAATCATGATATCCTTGTTGGCGGCTAGGAAAAGAGGAGTCTGACCACCCCGGTCTCTGATGTCAGTTTTGATGCCTTTTTCTTCCAGCAGGAGCCTTACAACCTCTGTGTGCCCCCCTTTTGCCGCAAGATGCAGGGCTGTTTCGCCGCCATTCATATCACAATAGTTGGCTCGGTCGACACATTTCTGAACCTGCCAGTTGACATCAACTTTGGACAGTAGGGCGCGAATGGTGTCGACATCTCCATTGGAAGCCGCATCCAGGAACTGCTGTTCCTCGTCGAACCCGAGGCGCTTCAAAGCTACTGCCGCCGCAATCTTAATATCTCCGTCTCCGCTGTTCACTTTTGGCACTCGCTTGAGCATTCTCATGCTTTGTTCCAAGTCCCTCATTTGAAGCCTTCCTGCATGATGCAAGTACGAAGCTGGTGCTGCGTATGGATCCGAGCAGGCGGCCATGATTTTGCGTGGGCTTTCGCCCCTGCCAAGCATGTCCTTAATTTTCTGTACGCCTTGGCGAATGTGCTGTTTGAATACTTCCTGAATCTCTTGAAAGTCGTAGTCTGTTACAGCCAGCAGACGCTTCAAGTCCACGACCATGGGACGACCTGCCCACCAAGGGTAAACGACAGCGAAGTGCTTGTGGAAAAAGCCAAAAGTGGCTCCATGCCAACACATACCGGCAGTGCTGCGCGAGGCATGTGTGTCGAATCCAGGCATGGAGGCAAACAACTGGATGGCAGCTGCTAGTTCATTGCCCTTGTGGTCCACGAGATGAACATGTCCGCCTCCACCGTACCGCGGGAATCTGCGTGAAGCGCCACTTCCCTGAGGCAGTTTTTTGGATGAGGAGGTTGCTGTAGGGGACTGTCATAGTTTGGCTTCGTTGCTTGTTGCGGTCGGTTTTGGGAGTGAGCACACAGCAAAATAATGGAAGCTCTGATTCGATTCATCATCGACCTAGCTAGCTGTTGAATCACGGGATCACGACTGTGAAGATCTTTTGAAGTTAAGAATCCACGACTGGGAGGATCTTTCGAAAGATCCACGACAAGCCCGCTCCCCCCCTTCCTTGTCGAGGTCTGCATCCTGCTGTGTATCTTCTGATAGTAGCTAGCTACTTGTATCACCCAGGCAGAGGCAAGCCAAAGAAGAGGAAAGAGGAATCAATGCCAAGTGGGATTGGGTTGGTAGGATGCAGAGCTGGAGACTCAAGGCTGAACCCGGTCGCTACGGAATGGTTCCACCAGCCACGAGCCACGAAAGGCGTGGCTGTTTCTTGGTACCTGGGTGCTGCCATCGTGAGCGATCGAAAAAATCTACTCGTGCTGTGTTGCCAGCGTCATCAAGCGGGTGAATCGAATCAGGGGCGACTTGGCACAGACTCGACTCGGCGGAGGCTGCTTCCTGTCATCAGAATCTGGGGATCATGGTGATGATGTATGTACGAAACAAATAAAAACTCTACACGGGCGGTACTTTGGGTTGGTATGTACCGTACCGGTAGCTCCGATGAGATGGAAGTTCCGTCGCATTGTGGTGCACAAAACTTGATCTTATAGTGGAAGCCTTTCGCTACGGAGTTCAGAGCTAATGAAACGCGACAATGAACTCATTATTAAATATTGTACTGTACGGGTTTAGTTCATTCATTGATTGATTGCTGCATTTTGCGTTTAGCATTTCCTTTTTGTCACATTCCTTGACGGCAAGAAGCCATCTATGTAGTATACGAGTTGTCGCACTGACGAACACAAGATCAACTCTCCCTAAGGAATCGACGTCTTCGTGCGCTAGCGCAGTAGTCCAGACCTTAGAGGAACCACGGGGAAAGAAATACAATGATGAGGTCAATAGTCGCACTCGTGGGACAATGACGAGAATCCTTACCGCTGGCGGGCATTCCGCCGCATCCCGGGACACTACTGCTATCGCCAGGTTCAAGCTGAACGCAGGTCAGGCCTCCTTGGCATTCGTCGTCCTGTCACTTGGTCCCACCACAGTCGATTCCAACGTGAGACGTATGCAGTACCATCCACTTATTCTTAACTCTCTTT